CAAAATCAGCCTGATAGATATGTGCTTTACTGAGGCCATCCCATGGCTTCTCAGCCACACTTCTGAGTGAATTCAATAGCAGCTACCCTGGCAGTTCTTTGCACGCAAGAACTACGAGCTCTATTCACTTGTTGCAAAATTCAGCTTTTGCACAGGTAAGGTTCCTGTGCCTGGCTCCATCTCAGAATCACCTGGGAACTAACTTCTAAAATTCCAGATTTGCTGGTCACATCTTGGGATCTAATTTAGTAATTCTGGGGTGGGGCCTGTGCCTCTTAATTAAAAAGTAAAAATCCCCAGGTGATTGTGATGCTGAGCCAGTGCGGGGAGAGTGTTCTTTCTGGAAGATCAGTGGAGTCATCCCAATCAATTTACGCTTTCCACAGCTCACAGTTGGGGTGTTGGTTCTAGGGTGCGACGTGCACTGAAGACTCAAACATAGCATCATTCCAAGCCACCAACTCTTGGAAGACGTGCCCAAAAGTGCTAACCCTGTGATTGAGAAACACATTTTACAAATTCTAGCCGTGCCTGTTTCTATCATCTTTTTCACATTTTGCCATCACCACACCCCACATTATTTATTCTCTATCATCCCTTAGCCATTTCTAGTTTTTAAACCTTTACATTATATCATATCAAGCTTTAGATGGCTCTCATAAATGGAGAGCAGTATCTTTCACTAAGATAGAGGTAATCTTAAAGTGAAGTCAATAAAAACAAACCATTCTTTTAAAAGTCTAGCCAGGTACTCCTGTCCCTCCCCACATTCTAAGCCTGTGATCTGTGGTTTCTTAGTTGGAAAGTAAAAGGTAGCAATTGTTAGGCATGGAAGACACACTATCCCCAAACAGACTTTCTCAGATTGAAGGGGCATGACTTTTACTGGGTGACTCAGTGTGTTCCAATGTCATGTCTAACCACTGAACAACACCTGGGCGCCAGGTGGATAGCATCCTACTGGAGTAGCCAACATCTTTGTTGATAACCAAGCTAAATAGTCTACAATTGCAGCAGCTGGAAAATAATGCAAATGAATAAAAACACTCCCGAAGACTGTGTCCAAGAATGTGTTGGTAGCCAGCTGAGGGATGGGTTTAGCAGAGTTATTATAAGCCCATCCCCTCAATCACATTATATAACCAGCTACTGGGAAAGAGGAGAGATTGGAGGTAAACATTTAGAGAAGAATCCTGGGGAGGGGCCAGGAGAGACTCTATCCCAGAGTCAACTATTCCTGTCAATGTCAATTCCATCTAGATCCTGTCCGAGCCTGAGTTCAGCCCCAGACTTCCCTTCTTCCTGGTGCTCAGTCCTTTGGGTGTCATTCCAACAGAAGCTTTTTGAAGGCAAGGATCCTATCTTATGCACCTCAGCACCTCCTGCGTTTGGGGCAAGGCCTGGTGCCTAAGTAATATGGTAGATGTTTGTTAAATGATTGACTGTAACACCAAACCCCAGGCATGGGCTTCCCTAGCGCTGGGAGCTGTCACCGTGAGCGCCTGGTCTCAGTCTCCTTCCATTCAGGCCTCAAGCCTGACCCCGCGAGTGCCTGTGGGGCTTTCCTCACCAAGCCCTGGCCTAGCACAGCAGGCCTGTAAGGCATGTTGGGTAATTAGAGTTAATTAGAGTTAATACCCTTGTGCTGACATTGTCAACTCTGAAGTAGGGTTTTGTCTGCCTCGGTTGCTTAAGGACTAGGCTGGGATTGGGCGGGGTAGTCTTGGGTGGAAGCGGCTTGGGTGACTTTGGGTAAGCGAGTTAAACACTTGTACCTCTTACAGGAGAAGGAGAAATGAGCCTTTGCTTCCCGCGTGGGGATATTAAAAATGATAAGCAGCGCTTTGCGAACAGTGGCAATAACAGGTTGTGGCTGACTAGCAAGATGGGAAAGTAACCTTGCCTACAGCCCCGAAGAACAGTTAAGAAAAGTGTTTGTGGGAACTGGTCACCCTTGGTAATTCCCATTGAGTGAGGGCTAAGGCGGCAGGTGGGTGGTCTTTGGTGGGAGGGGTCCCAGGTCACACCATTTGGGCCTCAGTTCTGGTGGGTACATGTGGGAGTGATAGTGAAAAGCAGGCATAGCTGAAACCCCATAACAATGACCGTAGTAACAATGGCACCAGTTGAACTCCTAAATTATATTATATCTAAGCTTGAGTAGGCTTTTGGTTACAATGTTGAGTGTGTCTGATCCTCAAAGAACAAAGGTGTTTTGCAGAAGTTCTCAAATTGGAGTGAGCAGGAGATTCGCTGGTGAGGGTGGGACTGCTTGTTCAATGAGCAGAATCCTGAGCCCTCACCCCGAGGTTTCAGATTCCCAAGGTCTAGGGCAGTAGTGCTTACCGAGGGGCAATATTGCCCCGCAGGGGACATTGGGCAGGGTTTGGGGACAATGTCTGGGGATAGTGTCTGGGGATAACCCAGCTCCCAGCGCATGGGTTGCCCCATGCGGGTGAAAGGGCCTGGCACCTAGTGGGCAGAGGCTGCTGCTGCTGCTAAACATCCTACATCGCACTGAACAGCCTCTACAACAACAACAAATATGGCCCAAAATGTCAGCCCGTCTTGTTCTAGGGTTTAGCCAAGAGATGTGCATCTCAGCAAAGGCTTCTGGGGCTTTTACGAAGGAAGCGTTGACGTAGGCTGCCTCTTATTCTAAGGGCATTTCTGCTACTGCTCCCTCTTGCTTAATAACCTCCATATTGAGGACTCAGATTTGACTTGACTCTCCCTGGAAGCCCTGTCTGATAATCACCCTCCTTTCTCCACATCCCCGTTAACTACCCTCCTAGTACACCGCCCGCCCCAGCTGGCATCACTGGCCCCTTTATTGTTAGACTCTCCAGCAGGAAGGAGAGTTCCTTGAGACCTGGCCGCAGCACCTCAGAAGCCCCTGGCCCAGAGCAAGGCTCAGTCACCACATGCGCTCCAGTCTGTCTCCGCCTGACTGACATCTCCTGCCTTGAGTCTGGAGCTTCCCCCTCCTTCAGAAATTATCTTGTGTATTTGTTGGCTTTCATTCATTCAAACAGTATCTAATTGGGCACTTATTACTATATGTCTTGTTCTTTGTCATCTTTTGGGGATGTAACAGTAAACAAAAGAGGAAAAATAGGGAAATGGGGTGGGGAGCCTGTGTGTGTGACATTTTGAGTAAGGCAGGCCTCTGGGGGAACGTGAGATGGCAGCAATGACCCGATACCTCAGGGTGACCAGTCTGCTCCCACATTAAAATATAAACACTAAGAGGACCCGGGTTTCTTCCCTTTCTCCAGCGGCTGCTGTGTCTCCAGAACAGGCACATAATAGGTGCTCAATAAATACCATTCCAACAAAACAAAGAGAGGGATAGGCGATGAAACTCTCAAGGAGGCTGCCAATGGGATATTTTTGCTTTTATGACCATCTACTGATTAACAAGGAGGTGGGAGGGACAGGGGCATCTTTAAACTTAAGGGGGGTGGGGAGGACATCTTTGTGGTCAGATTACAAGACTGAGGATGGAGGTCATCACCAGATAAAGTGCCCTCCCCCATTCCTCCCTCTCTCCTTACCGTTCCCCCTCCCCTCTCCCCCTTCCCCTCCCTCTCCAAAGCAAATCTAAGTTCTCAGCCTCTGAATATTGTCCAAGGTCCCCGCTGGTTGGCTGGCCTGGCCCCCTGCAGCTCCCTTCCTGGCTTCCAGTTTAGGCATCACCCTTCCCCGCTTTCCTCCTACACCCTCCTCCCTTCTTTCCCTCCCCCCCCCCCCAGGGCTATCCCAGTGCCTGGTGGGCAGGTCCTCACCATCTGGGGGAAGAGGGTTCCCTGAGAACAGCAGCAGGGCCAGGGGTGCCCAGCTCGCCCCGCCCCCAGCCCCTCGCTCCCCGGTGGGACACTGTCCCTTTAATAGACTCCCTCTGCCTGGCGCGCTGCGGCTGGGGAGTAAATTTCTCCCTGTCATCAGGTCGCGGGGAGAGGAGGAGGAGGAGGAGTTTGTTAATGTTCAGTTTGTTCAGCAGGATCGATGTTTGCTGGCATCGCCTCGCCCTGCCTTGTGTGTGTGTGTGTGTGTGTGTGCGCGCGTGTGAGTGTGTGTGTGTCTGTATGTGTGTCTGTGTCTGTGTGTGTGTGTGTGTGTGTGTGTGTGTGTGTGTGTGTATGCGCGCCTATGTGGGGGTGTGAGTGTGTGAGAGGAAGCGGGGGTGCGTGCCTGTGTGAGTGTGTCCGCGTGTGTCTGTGTGTGAGTGCGTGTGTGTGTGTGTGTGTGTGTGTGTGTGTGAGTGAGTGAATTCCAGATTTTCTGTCTTCCCCAAACCCGCGCCTGTCCTCTCGCATATCACTCACAGGCGGGATCTGACAGCAGCCACAAACCCACAGTGAGTGATCTCTCCCCCCGGCGCGGATCCGCCATCAAGACCGGCCAGGAGGAGGAGGAAGAGGAGGAGGCGCAGGAGGAGGGGAAGGAGAGAAGGAGGAAGAAGAGGAAGAAGAAGAAGAAGAAACCACTACCTTCCCGGGATCGCCTTTTTTTTTCCTCCTTCCTTATCTCTGCGCGCGCGTGTGCGCGTGGCGCGTGTGTGCGCCTCTCGTCCCTTCCCTCCGAGCCCGGGCTTGGATGTTTAATAAAGAAATCAAGTGTCTCCACAGTCACAAAAACAACAACCACCAAAACCAAAAAAAGAAAAAAAATCCAAAAAAAGCAGAAACAGAAAGAGGGAGAGAAAGAGAGGAAAAAAAAAATCCAAAACAAACAAACAAACAACAAGGCGCAGCGGCCAGCCTCTACTTCAAACCAGCCGCCGGCACCAGCCGCCACCCGTGCCCGCCGCCCAGGAGGGGGTCTCTGGCCCGCGGCGGCGGAGTGGCAGGGGGGATCGCCGGGGGGACAGAGGCCGAGACGCCCCAGGAGCCACCGGGCAGGAGGCGGAGGAGGAGAGCCGGCGGGCGGAGAGACCGCGGGCCCCGCGCGCGGCTGGGGCTGGGGCGCCCGAAGTGGGACTGGAGCGAAGTTGAGCGATGCCAAGGAGGAAACAGCAGGCACCCAAGCGGGCGGCAGGTAAGAGAAGGCTCCGCTTCGGGGCTGCCCCTCGGCCGCTGCTCTGTGCGCAGAGCCCTTCGCCGCCCTCCCGGCCCTGGTGCCCAGGATGCCAGCCACCCCCTACCCCCCAGCTTTCTGGGAAGAGTTGCTCTCGGGGGTATCCCTCTCTGCCCTGAGGATAACCCCGTCCTCTCTCGCCTTCTCAGATCTCCTGAATCCTCCCCTCTGCAGGCTCTGGCTGGGTGGGGGTGCTATCCCACCGAGCCTTCCCTCCTTAAACTTTTCCCCCTCTACCCCTTACCCCACCCCTAACTTTCTCCCAGTCTGTTTCTTGCTGCTTGGGCCAAAGTTGGGCTGAGGGTTTGGGGTGCAGAGTAGCAAGGGACTGTCCTTCCATCCCCTCATCCCTCTGCGTGGCCAGTGCCAGCACTCCTGGCGTGGAGGGACAGCGGCTTGCTCTCCCTGGGGCTGGGGCACTGAAGTGGAAGCAAGAGCCCTGCCCAAGCCTGGGCTGCAGGCTGGCTTTGGGGCGAGCAGTGGGAGTTCAGCTTTGATCGCCAAGGTGGAAAAAACCACTTCAGGAAGCAAACGCGTGAGCCTTTGACTATGTTTGCTAAAAGGATCCACGTTGGGAAATCTAATCAACGCTCTCTCTTCTCTTAAAGAGGGTGGGGGTGCCCCGTAGAACATGGACAGGGCTCTGGTTTTTCTTTGCCCAGAGAGAGTTGCAAACTTTGTAAATTGATTTGTATGGTAGGAACTGTCCCATCTGAATCCCCACCTCACCCCCCAAAAAAGAGAGGAGCAGGTTAATGGATCAGCACAATAGACCCACTAAAGGATTTTTTTTTTTCTCTTTTGGGTTGCTTAATTGCTTTTTTAATAGTATGCTGGGGTTTTGTTTCTCGGAAGTGTAATATGAAAGTTCATTTTTCTCCTGCCAGACCCACCCACTGAAAAATCAGCTTTCCACTTGATTGCTAGTTTTGATTTGACATTTGATTGATCACCTGTCATCTCGCTGCCTTTGATCTATTCATTCTTGATATATATCAATAAATCACTCACCATGGTAACTCAGAGTGCCAGTGACGCAAGCCTTGCCCTCTGGATTCAGAGCCAGACATGCACAATTATTATCTTGTTTGGCTTTTAATGTGGGCGTTTTTTATTTCTTTGTGTCCTTTGGTTGAATCGGGGCTTTAGCAAAAAAGCTTCGGCTGTTTTCCTTCCCCGTCTCTGTCTTCACCCTGGAGCTCTAGGCAGCCTTGGTTCAGGCTAGTCCCCGGCAGACCCACCACCACATTTCCTTCTGTTCCTACTCGCGCAGAGCATGGGAGAAGTTCGGCGGAGCACTTTCCTAAACTTTGCAAAGCCACCCTCAGAACAAATCCAAAGTTAGCTCCAAATCTGGGCAAAGTGGGTGTTTGTGTCTGAACAGGCTGGACCACCAAGCTCATCCTCCATCGTGGCCCGATTCCAGCCCGAATGGCAGTACATGTGCTTCGAGATATCCACAATTATCTTCCCTTCTGAGCGTGGAGCTGCCGGGTGGAGATGGCTTCAGATCGCATGCGGAAATATCACTTATAAAGCTTTGATTCGTGCATTTCCCGATCGCTTCCCTCGGAGCAAAATAATTAAAACGTTTTAGGGTGATGCATGTTTAGAACGTACCTCGTGAGTGAGGCGATCTTTTTACAACTCTGCCTCTTTTGAAAAAACAGTTTCTCTCTCTATCCCAGGACCCTTTCTACATTGAACTGACTAATTTTTTTTTTTTTAACTTAGATTGCTCTGTGGCCTGATCCTGGCCTTCTGGACTCAGGAAGAGTAAGCCTGCTCTGTCTAGTTCTGGCAACACAAGTTTAAGTGCAGCTAGATTGTTAGAGATAACGTCCTCATTGTTGTCCCAAAAGAGAACCCCGGGCAACAGTCCAGAAAGAAGTGATACTGCTCTGAAAATTACTCTTTTCTTCCCCCCTTGTTGTTCCGGTAAAGGCCATCAACCAACTGGGCGGCAGTCATTTACATTACCAGAATGACTGGCCATGTCTCCTTTGGCAAGCTCATTACAAAAAGTGCATTGCTCAGAATCGCGCTACTTTGCTTATAATTATTTGCTGATCAATGAGGATCCAGGTGTACGTAGCACAATGCTGCATCACATTATTTAAATCAGGCCCTTTCATTAAGCGGATCTCTCCTGGTGCTGGCCTGCCTGCTTACTGTAGAGGGAGAATGTGTATGTGTGTGTGTGAGAAAGTTGTGACTGTAGTTTCAATTTCCCGGCCTATTGTGTTCCTACTGTCTTCATATGTTTGTTTTCGTGGTTTTCATTATTTTCACTGAAGAAGGAGAACCCCTTGTTGAGCTGAAAGGGAGTGATTCATTTCGTACACAATGGGGCCCCTCCTGCAGTATTTATTTGCACACGTATTAATACAGCGGGTATTTTTGCACGCAATGTTTCTTTCCTCTGAAGTCATCGCTGCTGTGCTGTTCTAGCTGAGGGAGCTATGGCCGAGGAAAGTTCGATACTTTGGGATTCTTTAGCCAGTGAGCGTGGGGGAGAGGGGGTGTGTGTGCAGAAGGTGGGTCCCAGGAAGACGGCCATCCTAACTCGTATCACGGCTTAAAATTAAACACAAAGCACAACTGTAAGTAATTATTCCCATGGCCTGATGCTGAAAGCTTGATTTCCAGCTTGATTAATGAATAATGTAAGATAGAAAAAGCCTGTGAGTGAATCAGAGATGAGACTATCCTTCCCAAGCCCTGTGTGAGGCAATTGGATTCCTTTGCGTTATTAGTTTTAAGTTCCATGTTTCAAGGAATCAATTAGAGAGCTTTCTAATAAAGCAGGTATCCAGCTGGAATGAGGGAGATGATACAAGGACGGGGGGTTTTAGTCCTTATTTCCTATATTCCTCCCCACCTCAAAGGGCAGGGATCTGAGGTAGGCAGTTCTCTTTAAGGAAACAGCCAAGGCAGAACATTTCCCAAATGTCATTCCCCCTGACTTTCCAAAGCTGTGCTATTCTACCATACCGTTACTTCGGGCAAGGGAAAAAAGAAAAAAAGTTCAGAAAGCAGCCCGCGGAACCTCAGGGGTTTGTGGGAATATTGCAGAATTCTATACCGGCATCTCCCCAGCACTGTCCGTTTTAGAGAAGATGGAGAAGATGGCAGGAAGGCAAAACAAAACAGAACAGTATTTGGGTTTGTTTGTATTTTGCAGTATACAGAATAGTTCACAGTTTTAAATTGTGGATTTACACGCTACTGTTGTTTCTGCTTTCTACGATCTATCGCGGTCTCTGTACACACACGTGAAATACATATTTTATTTCACCGTCCCGAACTATTGTTTTCGTGTAGTGCCAGCCAGTTGTGGTATCACAATATTTGGGGATCGTCTACATGTGAATATCTAATGTGTATATAAATGATAGGGTTCTGCTCCTGCCCACCCAGAGAGATGAAACGCTTCCTTCTTGCTGACTCTCAAAAGCTCTCTGACGACCCAGATCTCAGATCTCGGCAAAGTCTGGCAGGAAGGAACAGCTCCCTCGATTTATTTTGTTTATTTATTACGGAGATGAATAATGCAGATTTTGTTTGCATGGATGTCCTTGTGTAGCGGTAAACATTAGACTATTAGCAATCATTACTTAAAAGTTGCAATTTGCACCTTAATAGCACAGGTTATTTACATGGGAACCGTTCAGCAGGGACCATTCAGGATACTGCAGTGGAGAGGAGAGATGGCCTGAGCTATCTGCTTTTGGCCTTATGACAGCCAAGCAGTGGCTGGATGCGCCAGTGAGGTCTCTGGATGGGAGGGGGCAGGGACTCAGGGGGAAGCTTACCTGTAATTTACTGGCAAGCTGGGGTGAGATTCAAGAGGACAGGAATTGGAGTGGAGAAGGGACCCCGGACCTCTCACTTTGTTTAAACATACTTCCGAAAGCCAAGATCACATCTCGGAGATGTAAATACCACAGGCTAGAGCCCCCTTCACTTAGTCAAACCGTATGCGTCTAACAGATGAATGGAAATTATAAGCGCACGCACACCCCCCGCAGGGGGTCAGCGGCATGAACTGTCCTGGCCAGTCTGGTTGTTTAAGGCAGATCCCTGGAAACATGAAGGACAGCTGCCTTGCACACGCAGCCTCCGCACGGTGTTTTGGATGGACATTGATTACTTAAGTGGTCTCCCCAGCCCCGTTCTGACTTCCTTCTCCCACCCTCACCTCTCCCTTAAAGACTCAGATTGAATGGGACAGTTCAAAAGCCCATTTGTTTTAGGCATTTATTGATTTCATTTTTAATCTGCCATATCAGGACACAATACATTAACCCTAATCAGCAGATTGCAAGTGACAGGGAGTTGGAGTGGAAGCAGGTAAGGGAGGGGGGCTCGGAGAAACTTCTGGATGGCGAAACTCCCCTTGAGGTTGGGGGTCGGGCACCGGGGCTTACTTTTGAGGAGGGGGAAGCATTCCTCAGAAATACTGCAGGCTTGTTTTCTTCTCAGCCATCTCGGTTTGGTTCTCCTGCTAGACTCTATTGCTACCCTTGGGGGAAACTTCACACCCAACAAATACCTCCCAGGCATCTTTAGCAGATCTGTCCCTTGAAGCATCTTGCCTTTTGTCACATTCTCCAACAGAGGGTTAGGCTATCACTTTATCTCAGCTGACTTCTCACTCCTTTGATGGAATTTCTCCAACTGGATAATACCTGGGATGATCTATTTATCTTCCCAGTGGCTTGGGAACTGTTCTCTCCATGGAGCAGGTCTTAAAGGGGCACTGAGCCTGGCATTATCAAGGCCGGGGAGATGATGCACGTCTGCTTCGGCTGGCTGGGGCTGAGCTTAGGAACACCAGCCGGGAAGAAGACCCAGGCCCTGCCCATGCTGGTGCCGGGGCTGTCGTCAGCTGACAGGACCCGCGTTAACTGCCCCGGGTGCAGCTTCCTTTCCATCCTGGGATTTGCGCTATCTGTTTT